CTTCATAATAGACCCTACAAAGTATATATATTCTGGGTCGGCATAAAATTCTAAGGCGATCTAGCGATGTCCGTCTGTCTGCCGTCTGTTCTAATAACGCTATCTTTCGAACGAATTGAGATAGAAGGCTAAAATTACATACATTGCATACATGCATAGTTTACCAGTAGGCAGGTTAAGTTCGTTAATGGACCATGTCGGTCCACGTTCTCAAATAGCCCCCATATAACTGTACCTCCCGATATTCTGCATTTTCATGACATTAGCGACATTATTTACCGGAATTATTTATAATTTTCGTAAGTTCGTAATGCAGACACATTATTTACCGGAATCGTTTCAAACTTCGTATTTGAAGTTCGAAATGGGTACACAGTATATGACAAAAAAATTCGTAAGCTGGTCCACGTCATTGTATAGTCCCCATGTAGCGGTTTTCAATTAAGTGGCAGTTTCCGGATTTTTTTGAAAATTTTCAAGTTCTCAAGTGGTGGAGAAATATTTTGAAAGAAAGCTAATTTTTTATTGTTACAATTTGTTTTGGTATTTTTCTATGAAATTCATTTGTCACAATGATTTAATAGTTTTTATAACCTTAATGTTGTTATTGTAAAATGTAAGTTGTTGTATCTGATGCATACATCTTATAAATACACCTTGATTCCAGACCTATTCTTTCACTCATTTAGTACTTTTCGTACAAATCTAGGACGCCAATAATGACATGCATTTCAAATTTCAGGATTTCAGCTCTATTTCATCACCCATTACCAAATTTAATACTCTTTAGCACTCTTCGTAAAATTGTAGTACACATTTCCCACACCACCATCTCAATCCCAGATAGGTCGCATCGAGCCGACCAAGCCTGTTGCCTTGCGTTTGTCGTTGCTCCCTTTATTTGCATGGAGATTACTTGGATCATCTCTCATCATCATAATCACCATCTTACAATCAGGTACGTAAATTCAGATTCTTGTTCAAGTGAACTACCCGTGGTTGTTAGTGCATACTTTTTTTTAATTTTTTCCAAGTAACAGCATTGGTCGAGCTTCAATCACCCTACGCGTGTGTTCTTGCCTATACTTACATACAGTCCACTTTTGTTATGCACTAATTTATTGGTTGTACTGATCACCCTACGTTGCGTTGATCATATAAACATATTTTGTGCTTTGTGCCGTTTTTATACCCTCCACCATACTATGGAGGGTATATTAATTTTGTCATTCCGTTTGTAACTCCTCGAAATACTCATGTCAGACCCAACAAAGTATATATATTCTTGATCAGCGTAAAATTCTAAGACGATATAGCCATGTCCGTCTGTCCGCCTGTCTGTCTGTCTGTTGTAATCACGCTATCTTTGGAACAAATTGAGATAGAAGGCTAAATGGGCCATGTAGGTCCAAGTTATCTTATAGCCCCCATATAACGGTACCCCCCGATATTCGGTATTTTGATGATTTTAACGACATTATTTACCGGAATCGTTTCAAATTTCGTATTTGAAGTTCGTAATGAATACTACATCCTTAATCAAAAAATAAGCCATGTAGGTCCACGTCTTCATATAGCCCCGATATAACGGTACCCCCCGATATTCGGTATTTTAGCGACACTATTTAACGGAATCGTTCTAAATTTGGTATTTGAAGTTCGTAATAGATACTGCAGCATAAAACAGAAAATGGGCCATGTAGGTCCACGTCTTCGTATAGCCTCCATATACCGTACCCCCGATATTCGGTATTTTGATGACTTTAGCGACATTTTTTACCGGGATTGTTTCAAATTTCGAATATGAAGTTCGTAATGGATACTTCAGCCCATGCCAGAAAATTGTCGGTGCAGATCAACGCCATCGTATAGCCCCCATATAACGGTACCCCCTATATTCGGTATTTTGATGATTTTAGTTTCAAGTTTCGCATTTAAATATTGTAATAACTTATGACAAAAGTTGCCTAATTCTCGCCAACCAAACATACTCGGTGTTGTTATTCCCCATTCTCATTTTTGCAGTAACAAACACACCCTACAGTCCGTCTATTCGCCGTTTGGTTATTTTGTCGTCCTCACTAACAAAGTCTAATTCGCTCTTGTTGTACTTCTTCCTCATTTATTTCTCCACGTTGATCTATTCTCACTTGAGAATTTGCATTACCAAATATTACAACAACACTACGACATCATTCCACGCGCCCTTTTAAGCGTCGATTTTATTTTTTAGTAAAATAGCAACAGTGTTTTGATCTCCAACATTCACTGTTGGATCGTTTGTGGCGTCGCTTGTTGTGTGGGTGCGTAGCTGCTTACGCATAGTCATTTCTCTGCCGACGTCGCTTGTGTTTTATTGCTCTTTGTTGGTTACACACAGTGGGGTAAAACAGCAAAAATTGTGAATGTTTGTAATTTGTTGTAGAAATTGTTTTTCGATAATCTTTGGAAAGATTAATAACTGGCAGTAGGGTTTTTGGAATTTTTGGACAGATTCACCCTACATTTGGCATTAATTGCACATATACTTTAACCATATATTAGTTGAAACTGTTTGTCTTTTGTGGCTATATTGTACTTGTTTGGGCAATTAATTAATAGTTGTTTGTATTATTTGTGAGTCTTCATTGGGTTTGGATATTTTTTTGGAAGAATACACCTTACATTCGGTATATTCTGAAAAAATTCCCCATCTGAATAATAAAAATTTGTTGAATTTACTGAATTTGCTAAATTCTTAGTGATTCCATCACTTATTGGAAAAATTTGCTTGCGCGGTTTAAAATTTGTGGTCATTCACATAGTATTTCCTTCTATTCAGTTGTGGTTTAAATAAAATATCTTATCGTTTTGTTTATTTTCTCTCATTGCAAAATGTCGATAAGTCCAATTATTCGCTTTAATCGAGCCGCTGATTTGATTCTCAGATGTGTAGGATCTTTTGAGTCCATAAATGAATCCACGTATACTATCAACAATCTCGAAATTCGTAGTTCAGAGTTTCGGGAAATGTGGAACAAAGTAAAGTGCACATATGATGAGTGCAAATCTTACCTCACGACATCCGAGACTGCACAGCTGGATAATATTAATGTCGTTGAGGATAAATATTAGTGAGTGAGGCTAGGGAAATTGTCTCGAGGTTTCCACTCACAAGTTGTAGTTTTCTATAGCATGGAAAGCTTTGTCGGATGCGTATGACAATAAGCGCGTTCTGGTGAACAAGCATCTTAAGAATTTGTTCAATCCACCCTTTTTAGATAAGGAAAGTGTTTCGGGTTTGAAAAATATTCAACGCAGCGGTTGCCAGACCTAACTTTAACTTTGTGGGAACAAAGTGTTAAAGACAAATCGTCTTTGTCTTCATGGAACGACTTAGATTTTTTCCTCACAGAAAGAATACAAACACTGCAGTGTATTGAGAGTATGCGTAGAAATTCGTCCGCAGAAAAGTCGTTGTCAAATATAGACGCTTCACCTAACTACTTGACTAAGTCGTTTTCGATAGTTTCACTTACAAATTCTTGCAAATCTAAAGTGTTATCAACACCTTCATCTAACTGTGCGCCTCCTCCTCGGTCTAACAATTCATTTCCGAGCACCTCTTGTCCTGTTTGTCGTAACCAGAGCCATGTACTACGACTCTGCCCTCGTTTTGTTAGACTTCCGTTTGAGGAAAAATTCTCCATTGTAAAGGGAAATAATCTTTCATTAATTGCCTGCGTACCCGCCATGTCGTTAAAAACTGAAATAGCAAATATAGTTGCAATTATTGCAAACAGAGACATCACAGCCTTCTCCATCGGCAACAAATTAGTAGAGTAGTTGCAGTATCCTGCTCAAAACCATCTCCGGTTCCTGCCGAATTTACAAATCTGAAATCTTCACTATCCTGTATTGCTTCCAAAAAACTTGTTTGTAATTCATTGTTCATAATGGAAAAATTTATCCCGCTCGTGCTATAGTCGATCCTTCATCTAAGGTAACTATGATTTCTAAAAAAACTTAAAAATGCAGTTGGCATTTTATCTCCTTCCGCTAATGCTGTTAAAACAGGACAGAATGAATTGAAATCGGTTAAACCAAGAGATATTTGTTCTCTCAAATTGTCTTCCCCTAAAAATTCGTCTAGAATTATAGAAACGAATGCATTAGTCATGTCTAAGGTTAAGGGAATATTGTTGTCGCATTCACCAATACCTAGTTTGAAAACTCGGATTCCTAACTTAGATTTAGCGGATTCTTTTGATAACAGCCCAATAGACTTGCTACTTGGCGCTGATCTGTATCCTCAGATTCTGGAAGCTGAACCAGCTAAAATCGTTTTAGATTCGTTGCTGGCCCAAAAGTCTATTTTCGGGTATATTCTCACAGGTTCGGTTCCTCCCACCTAATCTCGCACCAAAAATTGATATCGGCCAATCGTATCTTTTAAAACCGAAATTCGTTGAAATAAGCACTTGCGCTAAGTATTGAAATTGTAAATTGAAATCTACCTGTATTTCTACAGGTACCATATTTAGCACCTTTAAATACTTTTCGTATCATTCTAGTACCAGTTTCCAAAAACATCTATTAACATTTTTATATCAAGAGCCACATTTTTTCCTGATGTGGCATCCTCTTGTGACAATAACATTGTCCAATTTTTTATCTAAACATTGCCTATTTTTCGATTTAAGCCACATTTGAACAGGCGTGATCACACGTTAGGCGTGAATTCAATGGAAATGAAAACTTTATCCCCACAATTTTACCAATATTAGTAAGTATAAGGGAATATGTTCAAGTGATTTACATTGCCTGCCTTTAAATTATTGCATACATGCAATAATGACTCAATAATAAATTCTGAAGAGAGCGTTTTGCTTAAAATTCCTTGAATTTGTTTTGTTTGAATTTATTATTTTTAATTAATATAGTATTTTATTTAAATTTCTTAAGGTTGCTGAAGAAATCGGTATGTTATTTCGTTGTATTTTTAATATATCAGTTTTTACCTGGTTCTGCAATAAGTTGTTTCTCAGGCATGCCTAACATTGACGCTGTCAATATCGTCGGTTCCGACCTTCCTTTGGAATTGAAGGCATAAAGAGTCAAAATGTAAATTCCACCAGGAGATAATGCTGATACAGTAAACTTTGGCATTGCGGATGTTATATTAGCTTTTAACTCCTATAAAAGAAAAGTTGCAGACTGTTAGCTTGGTTCATATAACAGCAAAAAATAAAATAGAAACATATATTGTAAAAGTAACATTAACAAAAATACTTTGAGCATTTTTATTAACAAATTGAGAACCATTAAAAAAGTTGCCATTCTTGTTATCACACACTTGCATATTTTTATACCCTCCACCATACTATGGAGGGTATATTAATTTTGTCATTCCGTTTGTAACTCCTCGAAATACTCATGCCAGACCCAACAAAGTATATATATTCTTGATCAGCGTAAAATTCTAAGCCGTCTGTCTGTCTGTTGTAATTACGCTATCTTTCGAACGAATTGAGATAGAAGGCTAAAATTTTGCACACATGTTTATTTTGTCCGTAGGCAGGTTAAGTGCGTAAATCTGTCATGTAGGTCCATAGTTTCATATAGCCCCCATATCACGGTACCTCCCTATATTCGGTATTTTGATGATTTTAGCGACATTATTAACCGGAATTGCTTAAAATTTGGTATTTGAAGTTCGTAATGAATACTACAGCCTAAGACAGAATATTGTATTTGCAGGTCCACGTCTTCGTATAGCCCGTATAGCACCGCAATTGTTTCAAATTACGTATTTAGATTTCGTAATGGGAACTAAAGTCTGTGACAGAAAATTGTTTATGCAGGTCCAGTTCTTCGTATATGCCCCATATACCAGTACCTCCCTATATTCGGTATTTTGATGATTTTAGCGACATTATTAACCGTAATTGTTTGAAATTTGGTATGTGAAGTTCGTAATGAACACTACAGCCTAAGACAGAAAATTGTCTTTGCAGGTCCACGTCTTCGTATAAGCCCTATATATCAGTACATCCTTATATTCGGTATTTTGACAATTTTAGGTACAATACTCACCGAAATTGTTTGAGATGTCGTACTTCAAGTTCGTAATGGAAGCTACAAATTATCTATGCAGGTCCAGGTGTTCGTATAACTCCGATATAACGATGATGATTTTAGCTACATTATTCACCGTTTATTTCAAGTTTCGAATTTGAATATGGTAATGACTTATGACAAACAATGCCTATATAGGTTCAGGTCATATATACACCAATATAACGGCTATATTCGGTATTTTTAAAATTTTAACAGAACTTTTTAAGGATTTTATTTTCAAATTCGTTCCAAATGGTGGAGGGTATTCAAAGTTCGGCCCGGCCGAACTTACTACTTTCTAACTCATTCTAGGTATAGAGTTTGTTTTTAACTGTCATATACACAAATGTATCGTACATGCAAATTAAATCAGATCCGATCGGAATGCATTTTACTTATTTTAGCGAACCTAAGAAGAAGATGAAATAAATTTGTAAAATAACTTTTTCAAACATGTGTGTAGTAACTACGCTCACTCAAGATACAATCGTATACAAGTTACGGCAGGTTGACCGTCTCTCTGTGTCTTGAAATCCCGATACAGTCTACATTATTTAACGTAGAGCTTCAAAATTTGGCGCAATAATTTGCATTGTCTCTAGGATGGTTGGCATTGAAAATAAGATATATCGGTCCGCCATATAAAAGTACCTCCCGATATTCGGTGTTTTGTTGATTTTCGGTATTTGTAGTTCATAATGGGTTCTGGCTGTGGTGGCACAAAGTTAAATATCTAAGTCCACGTTTCCCTATAGCGCACATACAACGGTACGGTCTTCCTGACATTTGTAGTTTAAAAGTGGAACATGTTTGGGTCCAGATACTTTTATATAAAAATGGTTTCTTTACCCAATATTGAAGCGTAGTCAAAATTCGATCCTGCCGAACTTAATGTTTTTTACTTGTTTTTTTTTAATATTAATTTGGAAAAAATCTCAGTATAATATTGGGTTTTATTCAGTTTATTCTATCTCTACTCCTACTCTATGAGTACATATACTCTACTGTTACATGGTGGCTATGAGAAAACTTTACCTATACCGACAATCCTGTGACACACATATTTTTTTCAATAATTCCCTTAGAAAATGTGACTTAAATCACCCACATACCGAATAACGGGGAGTACAACCATATGGGACCTACAAAAAACGTGGACTGTCATGCCCATTTGCAAACGTAACTTGTAATTAAAAATTTGGTAAAAAAAATTTAGTTTGCGTGGGATAATTGAGATTGTCCGGATTGCGGACTTTCATTTCGAAGCGTTCATTTCATATTACTTCTGTTTTGTTAAGAGACCGATCTTTTGAAGTGTATTAATAAAGACGCCAGTCTTGCTTTACGAGGGTTACTTGCTAGACTTCCGAGGGAGTTTTCAGTCTCCTGCCGGGTTTGCTTTCATTTAGCTTATTGGGTTCAGCGGGTGCGTCAGATCAGCATCAGACTCAACACCAACTGGTGATTTTGCTTTCCAATTCCAGGCAGAACAAATCCAATTTATCCCCGAATGGATCGAATACAAATTTTGAAAACTGGTCACCCAAACCGTTGGGAGTAGATATCTATGCATGAGCCATCTTACCTCTTGGCCAAAAATCCCTTCGCTCTAGGCATTTTTAATGTCAGTAACGTTTCTCTTTTGAGAAACAATTTTGGAGGTTTCTTTGCCTTTAATTTGTTTATTAGAAAAGAACAATTCATCACCATGGGTGAAATCACGAGGGGCGAGCTATTAACAGACAAGGCACGGTCGACGAAGGGGTAATGTAAAACGAAATCAGAACAAATGGAGAAAGAAGAAAATGTTTATAAGTGCAGTTGTAAGATTTAGAATATTTTCCAAAAGAATTTTAGTTTTATGTAATTCTTTGGTTCCTCCTCTATTATGCTTACGATTTCGTCACTTGGGTAAAGAGTTTTTTTTTTTGTCATAGGAGTAATTTTTAAAATAACTCCTGAGAAGAATATCCTAAACCAAAAAACAATTTAAAAAGCAGTAAGTTCGGCCGAGTCGAACTTTGAATACCCTCCACCATTTGAAACGAATTAGGAAATAAAATCCTTAAAATATTCTGTTAAAATCTTAAAAATACCGAATATAACCGTTATATTGGTGTCTATACGACGTGGACTATGTATTGTTTGTCATAAGTCATTACCATATTCAAATTGGAAAATTGAAATAAACGGTGACTAATGTAGCTAAAATCATCAAAATATCGTATATAGGGAGGTAGCGTTATATCGGAGCTGTGCGAAGACTTAAACCAGCATAGACAATTTTCTGCCGTAGGCTGTAACATCCATGACGAACTTCAAATACGCGTCTCAAACAATTTCGGTGGGTATTGTACCTAAACTCGTCAAAATACCGAATATAGGGAGATACTGGTGTGTGGGGGCTATACGAAGACCTGGACCTGCATAGACAATTTGCTGTCACAGACTGTAGCTCCCATTACGAGCTCTATATACATAATTTGAAACAATTCCAGTGAATAATGATGCTAAAATTATCAAAATACCGAATATAGGGAGGTACCGTTATATTGGGGGCTATACGAAGACGTGGACCTGAACAGACAGTTTTCTGTCTTAGGCTGTAGTATCCATTTCGAACTACAAATACAAAATTTGAAACAATACCTGTTAATAATGTCACTAAAATCTTCAAAACACAGAATATCGGGAGTTACCGTTATATGGGGGCTATCTGAAAACGTGGACCTACATGGCCCATTTACGAACTTAACCTGCCTAATAGAAAAATAATTATGTGTGCAAAATTTTAGCCTTCTATCTCAATAGCGAAAGATAGCGTGATTACAACAGTCAGACAGACGGACATCGCTAAATCGAATTTTAGAATTTTACGCTGATCAGGAATATATATAATTTGTTGGGTCTGACATGAGTATTTCGAGGAGTTACAAACAGGATGACAAAGTTAATATACCCTCCACAGTATGGTGAGGGTATAACAAGGGAACTGATGTGGATTGGTGGCCCTTTTCGAGGTATTCCCTGCATTATCCCCTGGTAAACATTACCAACGTTCTCCACTAATAAACAAACAATACAAACAACAATAAAGGGATTAAGCCTGACCATTTTGTAAAAACAAAATACTATGGTATGCCGGACAAACATTCCAGCACTATTCATATATATTTATTTTACAAATAAAAAATTCTTGCACTGTGATTCCGTTTTCTGAAAATTGATTAAAAATGGAGGAAAATATGTTAGCGCTGATTAGCATAATATTCAATTTTGTTTAATCTTTGGATTTTTTTAATCGACATTTTATTTTTGGCCTTATTTACTTAAATATTATTATTTTTTTTTAAATATGATATAGTCAAACAAAATCTTAGATCTTTTATAATGCATTTTTTGTTTAACTTTTTTCAATTTTTTAATTTTATTTGTGTCATATTTTGTGTCCCTTTTAGTATTATTTGAAGGTAAAATTTTCATACTTGTTACCTTTATCTTGGATTATTTTTTGTTTGATTTTTTAAGGTAGCTTTTTATAATTATTTCCTATTTTTTGGGTTCCTTTTTGTATTGTATTTAAGATTAAATTTTTAAATTTTTTAAGCGATTATTTTCAAAATGCAGGCATGAACTCAGATGGCAAAGGAAGGCTATTATTGTCCTTTTTACCCATAACATTTATCCATTGCTATAGTCTACTCATGGCATGAGTACATTCACAGTCAATTAAAGCTATAGTTTCCTGGTGGAAATGAAAAACTTCGAATACCTCCTCTCGGCCCACGGAGTAAATCGAAATTAAACCAAGATGATGGACTGAATACGAATATTGAAAAATTGTCACCCAAGCCGTTGGGTAGATATGTATGTATTACAATTGAGAAACAATTTATTTTGTATAGAGGTTTCTTTGGCTTTAATTTGTTTAATATAAATTAACAATTCATCATCATGTGTGAAATCATGAGGGGCGAGCTAGTTTTGGTGTTTTGGGTGTTCCTTGTTCATATAGTAGAAGAGTCTTTATACCATAGTATGTCCGTTCCATAAAACTTGTCATCTCTTGGTAATTA